GCCTCCCCACCTTCTTGATTGTTTCTTTTGCTTTGCAGAAGCTTTTCAGTTTGATGAGATCCCAGTTGTCTATCTTATCCCAGTTGTCTATCTTATCTCTTATGGCATGTGCATTTGGGTTTTTTTTATCAGAAATTGGTTGCCAGTTCCAATTTTCTTAAAGATAACTCCCACGTTTTGTAAAATTTTTATAGTTTGAGAGTTTACATTTATGTCTTTAATCCATTTAGAGTTGATTTTTGTGTATGGTGATAGGTAGGGGTCTTGTTTTAATCTTCTGCATGTGGTCAGTCAGTTTTCCCAGCACCATTTACTGAATAGGTTCTCCTCTCCTCAGTGGTTGTCAGTGAAGGCTTTGTCAAAGATGAGTTGGTTGAGAAATTGAGTTTTTCTTCCAGAATCTCTATCTTGTTCCATTGGTCTACATGCCTGTTTTTTGTACCAATACCAGGCTGTTTTGATTATTGTAGCCTTATAATAAAGTGTAAAGTCTGGAAATGTGATACTTTCTGCTGTCTGTATTTTCCTGAGGACTATTTTGCCTATCTGTGATTGTTTATGTCTCCATATAAAATTCTATGTTGTCGTTTCCAGGTCTGAGAAGAATGATCCTGGTAATTTAATGGAAGGAAGAATAGGGTATCTAGGGGCTTCTTTTATCTGTATGTATATATGTCTGGAAAGACCAGGGAAATTTTCTTCCATTATTTCCTCAAATAAGTTTTCCAAATCTGTCATTTTCTCTTCTTCCCCAGGGACACCTGTGATACTTACTTTGGAATATTTCACACAATCCCACATTTCTTGGATAATTTGTTCCCTTTTCTTTATTCATTTTTTATTATTGTTGTCTGATTAATTCAAAAGCCTTGGCTTAAAGTTCTGAGATCCTTTCATATGCTTGTTCTAGTTTACTGTTAAAACTTTCTACTTCACTTTGTACTTCCCTAAATGATTCTTTCATTTCCAGAATTTATGGTGTGTGTGTGTGTGTGTGTGTGTGTGTGTGTGTGTGTGTGTCTATCTCTTTGTACAATTTTCCATTCTTGTCTCGAATAGTTTTTTATTATTTTATGTTGGCTTTCAATTTTCTCCTGAAGTTTATTGATCAATTTTATACTCAACCTTTTGAATTCTGTCTGGAATTTCAAAAATATCATTTTGGTTAGGGTTTGTTGCTGAAGAATTTTTGTGGTCTTTTGGAGTGTTGGAGAACTCTGTTTTTCAAATTGTCAGAATTATTTTTTCTGGTTTCTTCTCAGTTTGGTAGACTATTTCTACTTATCTGAGCTTGGCAGGAGGCAGGTGTAGGCATTACAGTGTTCCCCAGGTATACATAGACTTGGTGAGGTGAGTTTCTCAATTCCTAGCCATGGCAGTCCTGTGCTGGGTAGCTGCACTCTCACAGCATCCTGAATGGCGAGAGTGGCTTTGAGTAGTGGTATTAGTTGGGGTTTGAGATCAGATCTTCCTCAAAGTTGAAGTATTATATCTGAAGTGGTGAGCTGCAATGCTGACCTCCGGCCAGGAGTTGGCACTTGTGGGAGAAAGCTAGCTGTGATAGTGGCTGTAGGCGTTCTCCTTGGAGTCTGTTGCTCCAAGAAGTGCCCAACCAATCTTGGTGAAGGACAATGTTCTGGGAATTACCTAAATTCCCTGTCTGTTTTGAGCCTTTGAAAGGAGTGTGGGGGTCTGAGAGAAAGGGGCTTGGGCATCCCACAAAGTGCAGTCTTGGCTACCCCAGTGGAGACTAAGAATGGGTCCTGGGACACTGGAGTAGCACTGTTGCATAGGGCAGGCACAGAAGAGTTTAATAGTGGAGTGTGAGGTTGCTGTGGCAAGGAGTCACACCAAGCTCCCACCCTGACCTCAGGCAGTTTGCCTTGTTGATGTCAAAGTGCAGCTATCCTCAGAGCATCAGATGCTCTTCTGGCAACACCTCCCCACCCCCAGCCAGCAACTGTCTGCAGCCAAGGTGGTTGCCAATAGGACCTACCCCCTCCCAGGGCAGCTAGAAAGCAGGTAGGCCACCTGTAAGGGTTGAGTTTCTGGAAAATGGTGGCTGGCAATTCTCAAGGCTTTCTTTTTTCCTGCACTACTCCACATGGGCTTTGACAGAGCAAGGTTGTGTGTAAGGCAACTTCCCCTGAGAGACTGGAGTCCTTCAAGGATCTGTGGGTCCACCAAGTTTGCAACAGGAGTATAGAACTTCTGAATTCCCCTTATTTACCTTCCCTACTGCGTCCAAAGGCTACTAGTAGACTGTGGTGGTGAAGGTGAGAGTTTGACTAGTTCCAACTTCAGGTTGATGGATTTTTCCCTTATTTGTACTCTGTGGTTATTATTGCTTCTTTGAAGAGTCATAAGGTGTGTTGCTTGTTTTTTTCCTCTCTAGGTGCTGAGGAAACTCTATCTAACTTGGTTTACTATAGAGGAGAAACTCAATCCAGCTGTTTCACATTGGTCATCTTAATCCCAAAACTCATACTTAATAAATATGTTTGGATCATATTACTTTATTGTTTTTTAAGTGTTTTATTTCTCTTGCTCTTCAGATTCTTGTTTCATAGACTGAACTATTTTTGTTTATTTATTTAAACTGATTGGATTCTATATGTAAACGAATCCATTTTTAAATTTCCTTCTAACCAAGTCAATGCTCAAATTGTCACTGAAGTTAAAAAGCTGAAAAAAATTGTGAATTTATTTATGGATTTCTAAATACACTACTTCTATATAAACCTGTGAAATAAAAATCATGTTGTTTTCTTTCTCACTTCACAACATATAGGTAGAATAGAATGTCATAATTGACATACAACAGTCTCATGAAGTGTCAGGGTCATCAAGTCTGATGGTACAGGGAGAAAGTTGAATGAAGATCTTTTAGTGTGCTGCAGGAATGTAGATAAAATCTCATCCCTATTAAAATATAGTGAAAACTTGATAACTGGTTTTGTTTAGCAAAGGATTGGTTTGTGGTCTTGTGTTTGTATATCTTTTATTAAGAGAGTCAATATTTTAGGACACTGACCTAACCTCCTGCTGAGCAACTGATAAATGGTCTCAAACACAATGCTAGTAGGGCAAGATGACCCTCTGAGGATGACCTTGAAATATGTTTTCTTTAGGCAAGCACAAGGGCAGCAAGAACAGAGAACTCAAGCTCTACATTAAAGCTTGGGGGCACTTTCACTAATAATAAATAGACCTCTCTAATTGGTTTTCTCTATCTTGGAAATAACACTGCTATCCAAAGTGAGCACTGTTTATGCTTCTTCAGGGGGGCTCAAATATTGTCATATTGCAAAACCACTATTTGCACAAGAAGCATGCCAATGTTGTTTGTCTACCATAATCTGAATCTTTCTTTCCTATTACACATATGTTACGGGTTATTAAGTAAACTATAATGTGAAGGTCCATGCCAGATATCTAGAATCTTTCTCACTTTGCATGAGAAAAACAATAGATTTTAACTTGAGGAACCTTGATTGGTTCAACTACAGATCCTTTTGTAAAATGTATTATGTATCAAATGTTAAGCATATGCTTAAATTTTAAATTTTAAATTCTTAAATTGAGATACAATATCATGGTTACTTGAGACCACCACAGGAAACTGTGATTTTTCTACAACTTCTGTTTTATGAATAGGACTATCAATGCCAATCTTTCATCAGTCACAAGAGCTTCTACATCAAAGTAGAAAATTAAGACAGGAATTTTCTCAAATGGGATTGTCTGTTCAGATGCTTGAATGCATTATAGTCCTGCTGGGCACATTTATAGATAACAGAGGAAGTCTTTGGAAGATAACTGTATTCAGTATTTGGGTTTATATTCGGCATCAATGACTTGAACGTTGTACCCACAAGTAATTTTTTTTCACATAAAATTTGTGGATAAATAATCTAGTCTCACATTTAAATCAGTCTGAAAAGAGTTTAAAGAGTTTTAGCATAGAATAATAATCTACTCCCATCTTAATATTTTAGGCATTGCAAAAATTGGAATTCATTTATCTCCATATTGTCTGTCTTCCAACAGCAGAGTTTTTACAGAGGATGTCAAAGAAAATAATTATTGTAGAAAAAATACCACTTCCAATTTGAAAATACATGAAGTATATATTACCTGTAAAATACAGATGCCTCATATTTTAAGTTCTATAATGGTCATATACTTTCTCTAGAGTCCTGACCCTTCCTGTCCTAGGTCGAAGAAAGCATATATTTAAATAATCTAAAGAGTAAATTTTCTCTTCCAGACTCCCTTTCTTAATTCCTTATTAGCTGATCAGACACTTGTCAAGTTTTTGTGGAGTTTTTTGTGGGTTTTTTTTTTCTTCTTCGAGGGTTTAGTTTGAAAAACAGAATATTCAGTGAAGAAGAAGGTAGATATATTTATGTAAAATCTGAACATCCTAAACTGAATTCATTACAAAGTTACAAAAGTTTTTAATAAAAGTTCTATGTACAAGACTCATGTGTTTATTTTTAAAATATTGAATGCAAATCATGGTACTAGAGAAAGTAACTCAGGCTAAATGATGTTTTAAAAATTATCAATACTTGCTCATTTAAAAATAAATTTAAAATACGAATTTCTCATTGCAAACTTTATTTGAGAAAAATGAGAGTTGAAATAAGAGTGTATTTCTAGAGAATAATAACCAAAAACTTTTTTGTTGCTCTTATACCTACACAAATTAACCTATGCACACACATACACAGGGCACACTGATGAACAATTTTTTCTTAAAAATTATTTCATAATTTTTTTTAGGATTTTACTGCAGTGGCTAATGTTTAGGAACATTTGAAGAAAGAAGTTATACATAAACTTTTTCAACTCCATGTGGTCCTGTTCAGACATCTGTGATAAAACCACTCACAGAACATGGCCAAATCTGTGATAATATACTTAATCCCTAGTGAAAAATACATAATTTTCCAATGTATCATTGCTCTTTGCTCAGAGAGGAATTCAGACTTTAGGTTTCCATCGGTCGGTCTTACTCTTTGTGCCTGTGTCTGATTCTTTAGATCTTAGTTTAATTAACAAACCTGTGTTTAGATAAAAGGCGGACAATGCCATGTTGGATTTGCTTAGTCTTGATGCTATAGATGAGAGGATTCATCAAAGGAGGAAAGAGGAAGTAGATATAGCTCATGACAATGTGGACAACTTCATGCACATGCTTCCCAAATCTGTAGATAAATGTCAACCCCAGCACTGTGACATAGAAGATGAGGACACAACTGACATGGGAAATACAGGTGTTGAGGGCCTTGGCTCTCTCTTCAACAGAGGCAATGCTCATTACAGTTTTAAGAATTAGAATATAGGAGAAGAGGATAATTAGAGAGTCTAGGAAGATTGTTAAGGAAATCAGTATTACAGGGTAAAGTCTGTTGAAAGTTATATCAGCACAGGCCAGTTTCATGACTTCCTGGTGAAGGCAGAAAGCACGAGTGATAACATGAGATTTGCAATAGGAAAATGAAAAAAGACGCAAAATCACAGGCAGGATAGATACAAAACCTCTTAGAAAAACAACCACTCCTAACTTTACCACTTTAGTGTTGGTGAGAATGGAAGTATATCTCAAAGGATTGCGGATGGCAATAAAACGATCATAGGCCATTGCGAGGAGACAACCTGATTCTACAACAGATAGAGAGTGAATAAAGTAGGCCTGCAAGAAGCATCCTGAATGACTAATCTTCCTGTAATTCACCCATAAAACACCCATTACAGTAGGCATTGTGGTCATTGTTACCATAAGGTCTGTGCCTGCCAACATGGCAAGGAAATAGTACATGGGTTCATGAAGACTGTGGTTATCCTTGATAAGGTAGAGGAGTGTGCCATTGCCAAGAAGGATGCATACATAGATGGCAAAGAAGGGAATGGATATCCAGTGATGAGCTGCTTCCAGCCCAGGGAAGCCAGTCAGCAAAAAGGGGGCCTCAGTAATATTGGGCCACAGCATGTCTCCAAAAGTGAAAAGAAGAGTTCTTGAACCTTGAAACCAGGAACTCAGAATATTCAGTGATTTTATGGTATAGTAGCCTCAATGACAATTTTCTTATTTGGAGATAACAAGTTGTGAGAAATTAGACTTTGCAACTATTTTCCTTCAGAAGAAGAGTAGACATTTTAGGTCATACTAAAGATGAAGAATGATGTTTTTATTTTTTACCTAATCAGACAAAATGAATAGTTAATTTTTTCTCAAATTAAAAGAAACCTTTTCATTGGTTTTTCTTATATAATCAGCCTTATGTATTATCTAGGTACCTAAAAATATGTGCAACAAGAGTGATAACAAAGACAAATAAAAGTATACAAATAAATGATAATCTGGCTTAACTGTTCCCTTCCTGTGATTGCTAACTTTTTGGACATTTTTTGTTTATTTTAATTTTGTATTTTACTATGATGCTAAAGGCATTTTCCAGTTAATGAAACCTGCACTTTTTTGAAACTGAATACTATAGTTTTATGAAACACAACATGCATAGCTATGACTTTCAATGAATTACTTTTCAACAGTTAGCCCTTTCTTGGCCACCTGAGCTGTGGGTCACACACTAGACACATCTAACAAACGGGGGAGCATGTTAAGACTTACAACCTCAGACTCTGCCTCCTCCAACTTCCTGAATGAAAATTTGTATCTTATCTGGTCTCCCAGGAGATTCAAGAGCACGCAATGTTTGAGAAGCTTTTCTTTAAGTATTTCATATCTATCTTCTATTGGAGATAGAAACCTCCTGCTTCTTCCACCTGTTGGATTCTCTTGTTCTTTCCAATTATTCTCATACAATTTTTTTTTGTTTTTACACCTTTCATTGGTTCTCTTACTGTATCTTGCTTTTCCCCAAATAATCTTGCCTAACTAAATGCTTAGATTCTTCCTCTGTCTCTTACTACTGCTATCTACTTTTTCTTCAACACTTAACTCCTGGGGAGCTGTGGCAGTTGTGTGACCTGTAACATTATAACATTTCCCCAGCCTGGGAATGCCAGTTTTAGCCACTATTTCTGTTTTCTTGTTTGCCGCAAAAAAAAAAAAAAAAGCACATTACCTGCTTTGCTGTAATATTTCACCATTATCAGAACTTGAAGGCAAGAATCCAACATTGAGCAGTCTTCTTTTTATGATGAATTTTCTTCCCAGCAATAAATCAAAATCAACAAACCACAAAGCACACAACTCCCGTTATGAGGAAGTGCTCTGACGTTACATCACTGTCAAGTTGGTGCTCACTGAGGTTGAAATCACCTTAAGTAGGAAGCACATTTACTTTCTAAAATTAAAGTTCATTGAAATCATATGGAGTATGAAGTTATTATTATTACACAAATGTAGTTCTACTTCTGAAAGTTTCTTTATGCTTAAAAGATGGATGACAGAACAATTTATAAGAGAAGAGAAAAAGCATGTAATAGACAAAGAAAATTGATGATGTATATATTAAAGGGTAAGTGTTGCAGAAAAACAAAATTTTGAACTTATCTTAAAAAAGAAATTCAGAAGTATCAAACTAGATTTCGAGACTTCAGAAAACATGTAAAAAATTTTTGAGCTTCTCCTTGATAATATATTAGATCTTTGCTGAAATTGGCAATAAAACTTTCAAGCACAAAAAAAGACATAAGTTTTTACTATTTTTATAGCAAAAACATGTTTAAGGCCGCATCTCCGCCCATAGCTGGTCGAGTCATTAAAAAGAAGGCAGAGAAGCCTATTGTATCTCCAACAATATAACAAGTAGGTCATGTCCCTGACATTTTAGGAGAAAAAAAATCACAGGAGAAATCTGCCCCAAACTGAGAGGTCCCTAATATTTACCCAACAACAAGTGTGTGGACTTCTAGGATCACCTAAACTGTTTTCAAATCAAAGCATACTGTAAGCAGTTTCATAAAGAATAGAAGTATGTTCATTGCACCTGCCAAGGCTACATTATGTGACAAAATTTTGTAAAGGTAGCTTATCTATTAATTAACAAATATTAAGAAAATTGTATCAGAAGTACAAGAACTAGTTCTTCTGGATGATGTGGGGGGAGCTATGGCTGTCAAATTGATAAGTAACTCAACTCAGAACAAGCGTTTTTTTGTTTTTTTTTTTAAGTGATTTTCTAAGGTCCTGGGGGTCATTGCTTTACAATATGTGATGAATTTTATTTGAAATAGAGTTTTAAATATGAATATGTTAATAGCATAGAGGCACTATTCTTCAATAGCATCTAGGACTCATGGAAAGATTAGTATTTAAACTCAACACAAATTAATGAATGCATGCCACATGATTACCACTATGCTGATTACATGGAAATAAAAGACATTTAATAAGCACAAACTGTCCTGAAGAAGTTCTTAGTATAGACCAAGAGTTTATAAAAGTTTATAAAATTTCTGCAATTTTATACACAAAGTATTGTCCACAATGTCTTAACAAAATCTATAATACTATAAACAACAACAAAAAGAAGTCTGAACCATGTCCTCCTAGACTTGTTCTAAATTTTCTGTAGGCATAATTTTCACATGATGTTTTTCTTCATCCTATTTGGATTCCTAAACTTGTAACAAAACTCTTCCTAAGAAACACACACACACACACACACACACACACACATACATACACACACACACAAACATAAATTCATAGAAACAGTTCATCATGCCCAGTTTGAGAACATAACATGAATTTCAACAGATACAGGGAAAATGAAAATGACAGGGATAATTTGGTTGCCTAAAGAAAAATCAGATAGATTTTTCTATCTGTGTGTGTGTGGGCTTCCAGAGAAACTAGTGAATAGTGAATCTATCACAGTTCATAAAAGAAATGAAAGGAGCAGACAATGTGAATCCTCTGTCCCTTTAATTTCTCATTTATATAATCCCTTCATCCCGTATGCCTCCATGGACCCTTGTGTGTTGGGTGAGCCTTGGTCTCTGGACTTTTTCCAATGAGTCTCAATGATAACTACCCATGCCATTTCTAAGAGCAGTTCTTCAAAGCAACACACACACACACACACACAACATACACACACACAGGTATCAACAACAGGGGTGTGTGTGTGCATGTGTGCTTCAGTGTCGTCTGTTTGGATACAATAAAGGCTATAAACTTCTGCCTAGAAAAATCAATAAGAGCACACAATGCCACATAGTGTTCAGAGCATTAACAATCATTCATGTGTCATTCCCAAGGTCCCAGATTAGTAACTTCAAATCTAACACAAATCCTTGAATATACTTTTCATAAAGAAGGAAAAAAATCTATGCTGTGTTTTGTACTTCCACTTGGATAATTACCTCTAGGTTGTACTCTGGAAATAATTCTTGTATGCTTCCTTAACTACATCTAACATATGAAGGGAGAGGAGCCATTCCATATTTTGTTCCTGGCACTCACCCACTCACAGTCTTTTCGCTGGAATAGAGATTTGTCCCCACTCTATTTGTGGACTCAGTTCGGATGATTCTCTCATGTAGCCTCCTCATGAGACCTATGCATGTGGAAATTATCTCCCCAAAGTTTCACCTTTCCAGTTTCCCAGGAGACCCCCTTGATCTCCCTTTCCTCTCTTTTCTGTCTGGGAGAAGCAGAGACACTAAACCAATGTCCTCAGGACTTTCAAGTGTCTTTCCAAAGATGGGTGAGAAAACTGAAAACCCAAATGACATCTGACAGGAAGGTCAGAGTTTGGTTATGTGACCCCATCATCAGGATTTAGGAAATCCATGCATCTTTTTTCTTTCATTGATCTCAAAGGACAATTATCTTCAGCACAATTGTCTTAAGGAATCTCATGTGCCTTTGTCGTGAAGTTTATGAGTTCTAATTGGATTTTTTCTTTGAGTTGGGGTCTCACTCTATCACGCAGGTTAGAATGCAGTGGCATGCTCACAGTCAACCCAGCGTTGACCTGCTGGACTCTGGTGATCCTTCTGCCTCAGCCTTCCAAGTAGCTGGAAATATATAGGAATGTGCTACCACACTGAGCTAATTTTTGATTTGTTGTAGAGAGGAGTTCTCGCCAAGTTGGCCAGGCTGGTCTCGAGCCCATGGGCTAAGACAATCCACTGACCTCGGAAAACATAGAGATACAACATTACACATGCAAAATTTTGCTGATGTAGTTTTGACTAACTTTTATCAGTAGAGTAGGCTAGAAGTGTATGGAAGAGAAATTTTATGATTCAGAAAGAATAGAACTAAGTGATTGATTTAGGGTAGTATACAAGAAGAAAGAATAGTATTTAACCAAACAAGTAAAAAATTTCTACAAGGAAAACTACAAACACTGATGAAAAGAATTGTAGCTGATGCAAACACATGAAAAAAGCTTCCATCCTCAATTAATATCTCTAAAATGATCATACTACCCAAAGCAGTCCACAGATTCAATTCAATCCCTGTAAAAATACTAATGCCATTTTTTGCAGAATTTTTTAAAAAACAATTCTAAAATTCATATGGACTCAAAAAAAGAAGGCCATGTAGACAAAATAATCTTAAGGGGAAAAAAGAAAAAAAAAGAAAAAAAAGCAGGAACTACACTAGCTGACTTCAAATTATACTACAATGCAACAGTAATCAAAACAGCATAGCACTAGTACTAAAAGTAAGTATGGTCAATAGAACAAAGTAAAGAACCCTGAAATAAAATCACATAACTATACCCAATGAATGTTTGACAAAGTTGACAAGAACATAAACTGGAGGAAAAGACACCATTTCCAATAAATAGTGCTGGGAAATTAAATTGCAATGTGCAGTCCAAGAAACTGGACCTCTATCTCTTACCATACACAAAAATAACCTGAAGATAATTAGAGACTTAAATGTAAGAACTAAAACTATAATAATACTACAAGAAAACCTAGAGAAAACTCTTCTGTGCATTGATCTAGGTAAATAATTCATGCCCCAAACTTCTAAAGTACAAGCAATAAACGCCCAAAATACACAAATGTGATTTAATTAAACAAGCAACAGAAAAA